TTTCACAATGAAATTTAAAGGGTCTTGGCAAACCTCAGACTGTTCAGAAATACATAATGGAACAGTGAGCCCATTGTAGAAGCACACTCATTGCATTTTGTTCAGATGCAGTTCAGATTTTTAAGTTCTTCCTGTTTGCCACTGAAACTAGTTTTGCATGTTTGTAATTGGTTAGCTATCTATGACATCACGAGACACACACACCCTTACAAAACAAATTTTCAGTTTTTGTGATATTTACAAAAAATAACAAGAAACAGACATTTAATATATTCTGCATCTTTAAATAAAATAATATGGTATATAGCCTTCCTGAAATATGGAGGAAGCAGGTAAAACAATCAACTGAAACAGTGTCTGTTTCACAGATTAGGATATCTGCCACAGGCATTCTGAATGAAAGAAAATGCTGAGTTTATCTCACTGATGAAATATGCACACAGGTCCTGGGGGGGTACATCTGTATGGAACCTTGAGTGTATTAATCGCTCTTCCAATGGAAAAAAGGGTTTTCAGGTTTTGGTTGAGTTACTTGGGAATGCCAGGAACCATTTTTTTTAATCCTACTCCTCTGGGTGAACAGGCACACGGTTCTCCAGCATCTATACTAATGTAGCTGTTGAAGCTACAGCCATTTAAATGTGGTCTTTTAGAACAGAAACCAACAATGTATGTTCTAATGCACCAGGTTTCCCCAAGCACATGTTCTTTTGTGCATACAGATTGTCTCCCTGTACTAAGAAACCCACATGCTGAGTTTTGGCTTGAATACTTCAAAGCCATATTGAGTGCACAGGTTGCATTAACCAAATAGTAAAAAAAGTTTTTGCCTTAGAAACAGGTAATGGATGCCTGCTCTGTCAATAACCCAGTACACTATAATGGGATTTTATGTGAAAGGACAATTTTATTTGCACAGAGCACAGTGAAGCCACGTGGCTCCATTTTGTGACATTATGATAATCAATTTCCATTACCACACCATGATATCCTTTATTCTCACACAA